TAGTGTTGCAGTGTAGTGTTGTGGTGTTGTAGTGTAGTGTTGTGGTGTAGTGTTGTAGTGTAGTGTAGTGTAGTGTTGTGGTGTTGTAGTGTAGTGCTGTAGTGTAGCGTAGTGGTGTAGTGTTGTAGTGTAGTGTTGTAGTGTAGTGTTGTGGTGTAGTGTTGTAGTGTAGTGTTGCAGTGTAGTGTTGTGGTGTTGTAGTGTTGTGGTGTTGTAGTGTTGTGGTGTAGTGTTGTAGTGTAGTGTTGTGTTGTAGTGTTGTGGTGTTGTGGTGTTGTAGTGTTGTAGTGTAGTGTTGTAGTGTTGTGGTGTAGTGTTGTAGTGTAGTGTTGCAGTGTAGTGTTGTGGTGTTGTAGTGTTGTAGTGTAGTGTTGTGGTGTAGTGTAGTGTTGTAGTGTAGTGTAGTGTAGTGTAGTGTAGTGTAGTGTTGTGTTGTGGTGTTGTAGTGTTGTGGTGTAGTGTAGTGGTGTAGTGTCGTGTAGTGTAGTGGTGTAGTGTTGTAGTGTAGTGTTGCAGTGTAGTGTTGTGGTGTAGTGTTGCAGTGTAGTGTTGTAATGTAGTGGTGTAGTGTTGTAGTGTCGTGTAGTAGTGTAGTGTATTGTTGTAGTGTAGTGGTATAGTGTTGTAATGTTGTGGTGTTGTAGTGTAGTGGTGTTGTGTTGCAGTGTAGTGTTGTGGTGTAGTGGTGTGGTGTTGCAGTGTAGTGTAGTGTTGTAGTGTAGTGGTGTAGTGTTGTGGTGTAGAGTTGTAGTGTAGTGTTGTGGTGTAGTGGTGTAGTGTAGTGTAGTGTAGTGTAGTGTTGTGGTGTTGTAGTGTAGTGTTGTGATGTAGTGGTGTAGTGTAGTGTTGTAGTGTTGTAGTGTCGTGTAGTGTAGTGGTGTAGTGTTGTGATGTAGTAGTGTAGTGGTGTAGTGGTGTAGTGTCGTGTAGTGTAGTGTAGTGGTGTGGTGTTGTAGTGTAGTGTTGTGGTGTTGTAGTGTAGTGTTGTGGTGTAGTGGTGTAGTGTTGTGGTGTAGTGGTGTAGTGTAGTGGTGTAGTGTTGTGGTGTTGTAGTGTAGTGTTGTGGTGTTGTAGTGTAGTGTTGTGGTGTAGTGGTGTGGTGTTGTAGTGTAGTGTTGTGGTGTTGTAGTGTAGTGTTGTGGTGTTGTAGTGTAGTGTTGTGGTGTAGTGGTGTAGTGTAGTGGTGTAGTGTTGTAGTGTCGTGTAGTGTAGTGTTGCAGTGTAGTGTTGTAGTGTAGTGTTGCAGTGTAGTGTTGTGGTGTAGTGTTGCAGTGTAGTGTTGTAGCTTAGTGGTGTAGTGGTGTAGTAGTGTAGTGTAGTGTTGTAGTGTAGTGGTGTTGTGTTGTAATGTTGTAGTGTTGTAGTGTAGTGGTGTAGTAGTGTGGTGTTCTGTTGCAGTGTAGTGTTGTGGTGTAGCGGTGTAGTGTTGTAGTGTAGTGTTGTAGTGTAGTGGTGTAGTGTTGTAGTGTAGTGTAGTGTAGTGTTGTAGTGTAGTGTAGTGTAGTGTTGTGGTGTTGTAGTGTAGTGCAGTGGTGTAGTGTAGTGTAGTGTAGTGTAGTGGTGTAGTGTTGTGTTGTAGTGTTGTGGTGTAGTGTTGTAGTGGTGTAGTGTTGTGGTGTTGTGGTGTTATGGTGTAGTGTTGTAGTGTAGTGTTGTAGTGTAGCATAGTGTAATGTTGTGGTGTAGTGTTGTGGTGTAGTGTAGTGGTGTAGTGTAGTGTAGTGTTGTGGTGTTGTTGTTGTTGTGGTGTAGTGTAGCGTTGTGGTCTAGTGGTGTAGTGTAGTGTTGTAGTGTAGCATAGTGTAGTGTTGTGGTGTTGTTGTGGTGTAGTGTTGTTGTGGTGTAGTGTAGTGTTGTGGTGTTGTGGTGTAGTGTAGTGTTGTGGTGTAGTGGTGTAGTGTAGTGGTTTAGTGTTGTAGTGTAGTGTAGTGTAGTGTAGTGGTGTAGTTTAGTGGTGTAGTTTAATGTTGTAGTGTAGTGTTGTAGTGTAGTGGTTTACTGTTGTAGTGTAGTGTAGTGGAGTAGTTTAATGTTGTAGTGCAGTGTTGTAGTGTAGTGGTTTACTGTAGTGGTGTGGTGTAGTGTTGTAGTGTAGTGTTGTAGTGTTGTGTTGTAGTGTTAGAGTGTAGTGTTGCAGTGTAGTGTTGTGGTGTTGTAGTGTTGTGGTGTAGTGTTGTAGTGTAGTGTTGTGGTGTAGTGTTGTAGTGTAGTGTTGTAGTGTAGTGTTGTAGTGTTGTGGTGTTGTGGTGTTGTAGTGTTGTAGTGTAGTGTTGTAGTGTAGTGTTGTGGTGTAGTGTTGTAGTGTAGTGTTGCAGTGTAGTGTTGTAATGTTGTAGTGTTGTGGTGTAGTGTTGTAGTGTAGTGTTGTGGTGTAGTGTTGCAGTGTAGTGTTGTAATGTAGTGGTGTAGTGTCGTGTAGTAGTGTAGTGGTGTAGTGTAGTGTTGTAGTGTAGTGTTGTAGTGTTGTGTTGTAGTGTTAGAGTGTAGTGTTGCAGTGTAGTGTTGTGGTGTTGTAGTGTTGTGGTGTAGTGTTGTAGTGTAGTGTTGTGGTGTAGTGTTGTAGTGTAGTGTTGTAGTGTAGTGTTGTAGTGTTGTGGTGTTGTGGTGTTGTAGTGTAGTGTTGTAGTGTAGTGTTGTGGTGTAGTGTTGTAGTGTAGTGTTGCAGTGTAGTGTTGTGGTGTTGTAGTGTTGTGGTGTAGTGTTGTAGTGTAGTGTTGTAGTGTAGTGTAGTGTTGTGTTGTGGTGTTGTAGTGTAGTGTTGTGGTGTAGTGGTGTAGTGTTGTAGTGTAGTGTTGCAGTGTAGTGTTGTGGTGTAGTGTTGCAGTGTAGTGTTGTAATGTAGTGTTGTAGTGTCGTGTAGTAGTGTAGTGGTGTAGTGTAGTGTTGTGGTGTAGTGTAGTGGTATAGTGTTGTAATGTTGTGGTGTTGTAGTGTAGTGGTGTAGTAGTGTGGTGTTGTGTTGCAGTGTAGTGTTGTGGTGTAGTGGTGTGGTGTTGTAGTGTAGTGTAGTGGTGTAGTGTTGTGGTGTAGTGTTGTAGTGTAGTGTTGTGGTGTAGTGTAGTGTAGTTGTGTAGTGTAGTGGTGTAGTGTTGTAGTGTCGTGTAGTGTAGTGGTGTAGTGTTGTAGCTTAGTGTTGTGGTGTTGTAGTGTAGTGTTGTGGTGTAGTGGTGTAGTGTTGTAGTGTAGTGTAGTGTTGTGGTGTTGTAGTGTAGTGTAGTGGTGTAGTGTTGTGTTGTAGTGTTGTGGTGTAGTGTTGTAGTGGTGTAGTGTTGTGGTGTGGTGTTATGGTGTAGTGTTGTAGTGTAGCACAGTGTAATGTTGTGGTGTAGTGTTGTGGTGTAGTGTTGTAGTGTAGTGGTGTAGTGTAGTGTAGTGTTGTGGTGTTGTTGTTGTGGTGTAGTGTAGTGCTGTGGTGTAGTGTTGTGGTCTAGTGGTGTAATGTAGTGTTGTGGTGTAGTGTAGTGTTGTGGTGTTGTTGTTGTTGTGGTGTAGTGTTGTGGTGTTGTTGTTGTGGTGTAGTGTAGTGTTGTGGTGTAGTGTAGTGTTGTGGTCTAGTGGTGTAGTGTAGTGTTGTGGTGTAGTGTAGTGTTGTGGTCTAGTGGTGTAGTGTAGTGTTGTGGTGTAGTGTAGTGTTGTGGTGTAGTGTTGTGGTCTAGTGGTGTAATGTAGTGTTGTGGTGTAGTGTAGTGTTGTGGTGTTGTTGTTGTGGTGTAGTGTAGTGTAGTGTTGTGGTCTAGTGGTGTAGTGTAGTGTTGTAGTGTAGCATAGTGTAGTGTTGTAGTGTAGTGTAGTGTTGTGGTGTTGTTGTGGTGTAGTGTAGTGTTGTGGTGTAGTGTTGTTGTGGTGTAGTGTTGTGGTGTAGTGGTGTAGTGTAGTGGAGTAGTTTAATGTTGTAGTGTAGTGGTTTACTGTAGTGGTGTAGTGTAGTGGTTTATTGTTGTAGTGGTTTACTGTTGTAATGTTGTAGTGTAGTGGTGTAGTGTAGTGTAGTGGTGTAGTGTAGTGTTGTGGTGTAGTGTAGTGTTGTGGTGTAGTGTTGTTGTGGTGTAGTGTTGTTGTAGTGTAGTGTTGTGGTGTAGTGTAGTGTAGTGTAGTGGTGTAGTGTAGTGGAGTAGTTTAATGTTGTAGTGTAGTGGTTTACTGTAGTGGTGTAGTGTAGTGTTGTAGTGTAGTGGTTTATTGTTGTAGTGGTTTACTGTTGTAATGTTGTAGTGTAGTGGTGTAGTGTAGTGTAGTGGTGTAGTGTAGTGTAGTGTTGTAGTGTAGTGTAGTGTAGTGGTGTAGTGTAGTGTAGTGTAGTGTTGTAGTGTAGTGGTTTACTGTTGTAATGTTGTAGTGTAGTGTAGTGTAGTGGTGTAGTGTAGTGTAGTGGTGTAGTGTAGTGGTTTACTGTTGTAATGTTGTAGTGTAGTGTAGTGTAGTGTAGTGGTGTAGTGTAGTGGTGTAGTGTAGTGTAGTGGTGTAGTGTAGTGTAGTGTTGTAGTGTAGTGTAGTGTTGTAGTGTAGTGTAGTGTAGTGTTGTAGTGTAGTGGTGTAGTGTAGTGGTGTAGTGTAGTGTAGTGTTGTAGTGTAGTGTTGTAGTGTAGTGTAGTGGTGTAGTGTAGTGTAGTGTAGTGTAGTGTAGTGGTGTAGTTTAGTGTAGTGTAGTGTAGTGTAGTGGTGTAGTTTAGTGTAGTGGTGTAGTGTAGTGTAGTGGTGTAGTGTAGTGTAGTGGTGTAGTGTAGTGTTGTAGTGTAGTGTAGTGGTGTAGTGTAGTGTAGTGTAGTGTAGTGGTGTAGTGTAGTGTAGTGGTGTAGTGTAGTGGTGTAGTGTAGTGTAGTGTTGTAGTGTAGTGTAGTGTTGTAGTGTAGTGTAGTGTAGTGTTGTAGTGTAGTGTTGTAGTGTAGTGGTGTAGTGTAGTGGTGTAGTGTAGTGGTGTAGTGTAGTGGTTTACTGTTGTAATGTTGTAGTGTAGTGCTGAAGCGGCGGGCTCTAGGACCCAGCGCTTGGCTCTCAGGGACTCCGAGTCTCGCGCTGTGGGGAGGAGGAGAGGACACGCTCGTGCTCATCTAAACACTTTTACCTGTTTTCTGTGGGATTAAAGTATCAGCCGAAGCAGCGAGCGATGCGCCGGAGCCCTCAGTGAGATCAGTCTCGGTAAAGTCTCTCTCATTCACTTTAATGACGTGAGTTATTATCGGACAGTGAAGCTCTGAATAGGTTGCGGTTATTTCTCTCTTCAGAGGCCTAAAATAAAACACTTTAACTCTAAAAATAAACGACTCCACGCGGGGTGAATGAAAGCACTGGTTTAGCTGCTGGTTAACACTGTAACCTCTAGTTTCTATTCGTTAATGCCTTTATTATTCATCTGTCAGTCGTTACTTTGTGTCACTTTAAGCGCGTGCACGCCCAGGCCCAGCCGTTACAATGTGACAATGTTGCAAAAAATTCGAATGTTACTAAAATTCGAATGTTACTGTGTTTCTCTTTATTCTCCATACATTCCGATGTCTCTACGTGACAGTCCTGCTGTGTTTACAAGCGACATGTGCTGAACAGACTGTCTGTCTGTGTCTCTGTCTTCCTGTTAATAATTCATCAGTGTAATCTCAGGTGATTGTGTTTGTGTCTGTAAGAGCCCGTACAGTGTTTACAGTAACAAACGCGTATCATGTTGTTTTGATATGTAAATGTACAATGGATGAATTTGATGAGATCGTCTCCCATTAATATATAGTAATCAAAGCACTGCCACAGTACAGGGGTATCAACATGTATATTCTCATTATATCTGTCAGAAGTTGTTTGGATGGACTGTCAAAAAGTCACGTGACTCACTCAAGCGGAAGATGTCAGGGAAATGAGTGGATCATTCACTGTAAACACTGATTTGTGACTCCATCTAATCAACATGGATCTGGTTTACTTCAGGCTTGTTTAGTCTTTGATTCTGGATTGTTTATGATGATGATAGGTTGTTAAAAACCACTCGAATTACTCATTCTACTTTCTAAATGCTTTTCACATTTTAGAATTATAGTGAAGTAAGTTACCTAAGTAGGGATGAACCGATACTTTCGTATAATTCGTTATATTTGAAAGCCGATGACCTATATATTTGCCGATAAACCTTAATGAGTAATGACACAAACACACAATTATAATATTCTAATTATAATTGTATGTAGCCGATATGACAGACTTGCACATGTTGCACTGAACTGTATTCCAATCATATTTCAAGCAATTCAAAACCATCATGTTGAACAGTGCGCATCTGAAGCGTCTCAGCTGAAGGACATAATCCAATATTTATCAGCATTAAAATATCGGCCAGATTTTCTAATTGGGCCGATAATGATAACATTAAAAATGAACATATATCGGCCGATATGCTGATAAAATAACACATATGAAAGTATTGGAAATGATAAGACACAAATGAAAACTCGTATTTTTAAAATTGGCACTTTTCCTTCACTTTCAACTTCAAAAACTACAATATTAATGAATAATATATAGCACATGAATTTGAGGCCTAGACCTCGTGCGAACGCTAGATTTGACCATGCATCCGCTGACGTGTGACGTGTGGGCGGATGAGGGATGAAGATGCTGAAGGAATGTTTTACATTCTTCTGCGGGACGACTTTGAGGTCCTTCGGGTCCCGCTGACGCAGATCTGCCACCAGTAACACGCAGAATGTCAAGAATGCAGGAACTCAGACACAGTCGAGCGCATTGTGCGTTAGTGGTCGCGAATCGCCTGGTTTTAGACTCGCATCATATGACTGTCCTTGCCTCCGTGTTTTAGTCTGATTGGAGAGATTGCACTTCTACTCCAGATCCGGTGAACTAGACAGAACAAGAAAGCAAGACGTGACGTCACGCATGACTGAGTTGAACAAACCCTCTAAAACAAAATATTAAACACAAGCTCAAGTGGTTTGGAGTTGCAGAGCTGCTTCTGTGCTTTAAAGTCTCCCTGTAGTCAATCATTTTTATCCATTAAAACTCATCTTTGATCTTCAAAATGACAAATTTAAACATTTTTGTTAATTTTTTAATGTCTTCATGCCTTAAAATATCTTGAATGTAACTCGACACCCTTGCCTCATTTAGTATACGCGGTTCTATGAATATGCAAATGAGCCCCGCCTCCACTCACTCACTCAGCTCAGAGATCCACTGGTTGACGATCACACGTTGATCTGATTGGTTACAAGGTCGTTTGTGATGTCAGAAACACCAGCGATTTCAAACCGTGTTTTTGAGACTGTCTTTGGTTCACTGCAGTTTTAAAGGGATAGTTCACTTTGAAATTAATTTTTGATATGTTTTAGCTTACCTCAAGGGCATCCAAGATGTAGGTGTCTTTGTTTCCGCAGTAGTTTCAATTTTGATATATTTAGGTCAAACCGTTCTTGTCTGTCAGTCATATAATGCAGGTCTATGGTCACCACCTCAAAGAGCATGCACAGAGAAGTCCAAATTAAACATGATTTAATGACTCGTAAATGTAAGTACACATTGATGGCCTAAGACACGAAACGAGCGGTTTGTGTGAGAAAACCAACAGTATTTATATCGTTTTTACCTCTTGTAAACACAGCCACGTCCAAGTGATCTGAGGTCGCGATCGGTTTGTTTTTTTCCGGAAAGCGCCGGACGTGATCTCTCGCGCGTGTACGTCACTCATTGTTTACACAGAACAGAGATTGTAGGTAAGCCGGCTAATTAAAAGGGTACTAATTTGCGCTTATCTGGGATGTTTAAACCGTCGTAAAAGAAAACAGTTTCAAAAAAATAAAAAATTAAACAATTGTATGAGTGACGTACACGCGCGAGGTTTCACTTCCGGTGCTTTCCGGAAAAGACCGAAGCGCCGGCGCCCTCAGATCACTTGGACGTGGCTGTGTTTACAAGAGGTAAAAACGATATAAATACTGTTGGTTTTCTCACACAAACCGCTCGTTTCGTGTCTTAGGCCATCAATGCGTACTTACATTTACGAGTCATTAAATCATGTTTAATTTGGACTTCTCTGTGCATGCTCTTTGAGGTGGTGACCATAGACCTGCATTATATGACTGACAGACAAGAACGGTTTGACCTAAAAATATCAAAATTGAAACTCCTGCAGAAACAAAGACACCTACATCTTGGATGCCCTTGAGGTAAGCTAAAACATATCAAAAATTAATTTCAAAGTGAACTATCCCTTTAAGGAGGAAATACTCAGCAATGCTGTCGACTTATGAACTTACACATGGTGTGTCTTAAAGCGTATTAAAAACACCACATAAACAACATTAAAAGCTGGATTTTCTCTTTAAGATTTAAGAGTCTGTAAATGATGTGTTATCCGTACATATCCTCATCATGTAACGCACGCCTCTCGTCTGCAGTGAATAGGGCCTGATCTTACAGACAGTTCTGGAGTTGTGAATGACTTTAAGAGAGATCATGTGAGCAGGTTATTGGGTTCATTCAGACGGCCTGTTCTGGCTGTATGCCATCCTCTCGACTGTGTGTGTGTGTGGACCGCTGCCGTGAAAACACTCTGGTCTTGTTGAAAAGCACATGGGTTTGCAGCTCATGACCACAGCCCTTCTGTCTTTATTTTATGAACCAAACACTTATATGACAGTTTAATGTATTCTAGGGATGAACCGATAAGAACATTTTGGCCGATACGATAACCGAAAATTCTTTAAATTTTAAAGCCGATTATCGATATATTGGCCGATAAATCTAAATCCAAATTTTCATAGAATTTTTAAGAGCCTGATTACAAAAACAAAAGTCTCACCATTAAAATCCATGTCACAAGCACACAATTATAATGTTATGTAGCCGATATGACAGACTTGCGCTGCACATGTTGCACTGAACTGTATTTTCCGTTTTTGAAGTGATTTCAATCATATTTCAAGCAATTTAAAGCCGTCATGTTGAACAGTGCGCATCTAAAGAGTCTCAGCTGAAGGACATCATACATTATTTATCAGCTTAAATATATCCGCCAAATTTTCTTATTGGGCCGATAATGATAACATTAAAAATGAACATATATCGGCCGATACCGATATGGTGGCCGATATATTGTGCATCCCTAATGTATTTAATAATCAGAACTGTTTTATGGGATTATTTAAATTGCACATAAGGCATCAGCTTTTTAGTGCTAAAATTATGTTTCTACTCCAATTCGTTGTTGAAATATAAACATGGTGGCTGTAATAAATTGTTTTCATGACAGTTTAAATAATGAAGCAAGTTAAGTAAAGATATAATGAATATGTAATGCATGCATTTATGAAAATGCTTCTCTGTAGAGTTATTTTTCGAGTTTATGGTCATTGAATGGCTTTAAAAGTGACATTATTGTTCACAAGCTGTTTTATTAACGTCTTTCCGCGGTTGAAACACTGATTGATGGATTACTTGAGACATGATTGATTTCAGTAAGTTGTTCTGTATCTTTCAACACTCCTTCTGATGTTCACTGATGTTTATTTGCTGCTGTAACTAATAAAGGAAGAGATGATCGGTTCAAATGTCACATTAAAGAGCAGCAAAAACACTTTTACTGATTGTATTTCTTCATCATATTGAAAGAAAGCTTTGTTTCGCATCAAAAATAACAAAACTCAAAGCTTATTACTGAATGACAGGTGCGCTACAAATAATGTTTAGTGAAGTTTTTTGTTCATGAATTATTCACTGAAGACAGCAAAGGCTAAAAGATCTTGGTTATCAATGAAAAGTCGATGGTTACAGTAAAAAAAAAAAAAAAAAAAAAAAAAAAATGCTAATTAGCCGTCACTGTTTCATCCGAACGCAGAAATTCATTTTCCGTCTGATATTTTTGGTCGCCCGAACATATACTGTATACAATATCTTAAAAGGAAGCTGCATATGTATGTGATTCACAACACTAAGTTTTAGGCCAGTCATGTGACTCATTTACTGCGTCCCTATTGGTTCCATTGCCTGAATAAATGAAGCAGGCAGT